TGCACCGATTCCAAAGTGGCAGTTTTATTCCCAGTATTAAGTTCCTTTGGAAATGCAACTCTATTCTGCCTTTGTTATTAAAAAGTAACTTTATGCCGCTAAGCATGTGACTCATAACTCATTCGTTCTGAGCTTGGATGCACTGTGTGCAGCCTTAGAGATCTTACTATGTTAAGAGATACACAGTACAGTACATGTACAGTCAGTCAGTCCAAAGTAACAAGTACAGTAGTTGGTGTATTCATGAAGTTTTGGTACCCACCTTCCGGAGGTCGTTGGAATGCATGGGGAAAGGAGACGGTTTCTCACCTGTACCAGTTCAGTTGGTGGCTGATAACGTTTCTCCTGTAAGTCATGCACCACTTTCTGATGGAATGAGATTTGCCGAAAGATATCCTCCATGTGTTTGTCCCTCGTCCGTATGATCTCCTGCTCCGTGCTTTCGATCTTGCTCGTCAGGAAATGTTCTCTGAGCAGCAGAAACTTATGCAGATCATGGAATTTGGCCACCATTTGTTCTTTCGCTATTTGTGCTGATTTCTTCAAGAAGCCGGTGGGAAAAGGGGAGACAGAAACGTTGGAGTCAAACGCTTGCCACATCCTTACACTGGAGGAGGCAGAACATTTTATTACAAAAATGGCCAACTCAGACTTCCTCAGCTTAGTGCCTTTCAGGTGCATGGGACTGCCATTCCCATCATCCCCAGAAGCCAAACAACATGGTTACATGTACTGTAGGACATCTGACAAAGGCTAGTCAAAGGTGTGATTCAACACATCTCCAGGGCACCACCTCAGGAGATGCCTATGCCTAAAATCTGAATATTCTGGCCATAATTATCAGTGTTCGCATCATCAGTGTTATTTTATTTGTTACACTATATGCGTGCAATGAGCGCCAGGCAAGGTACAGGGCTATTTTGACCTCACACCTTATCCTGTGGAGTAGGCCAGGCTGAGCGTCTAAAGATCACCCACTGGATTTCATAGCTTTTACTCACATGCCTTTTCAGGTGTAAGGAACTTCTGGCCCTCTAGGTATTTTGGGCTACAATTCCCACCATCCCCAGGCCATCATGACCCATGGCAAGGGACTAGGGGAGTTGTAGTCTGATATAACTGGACGGCCAAGGGTTTCTGGTCTTTACTGTTAGGAATCGGGGATGTTGACAAGTCTGAATTTGGACCTGAATTTTTGGTCCTAAGTCCCAAGCCTCAAGTCTGAGTCCCTATGAAAAACAAACATTTTTCTCCAGGAAAAGAAAAAGAGGGGGATGGGTGAGTTCTGAGTTGCAAGTTGAATCTGAGTAATTGAGAAAAAAAACACACAAAGTCAAATCAGAGTTGAGTCACGGGTCCAACTTAAGTCTAGCTTGACAGCGAGTCCTATCACTCGAGTTTCCATCCCTGTTAAAAATCCTTGTTGCTTTGGTCTGTCAAGTCCTGTCTAAGCTACTCCATGTTCAAGGAGTAGCTTACCATTGCCACACACCCTGTTGAGTTTCCATGGCCAAGCACAAAGGCCAGCCTAGTCTTTTCAGTGATAAACATGATCACAAGGATACAGGGAAGGTATCCAGACAGGGGACAGGGGCTTGAAGAAAGCTGGGTGGGGAAAGTCACCATCTCTAGAGATTTCCAACAGTGTTTCAGGCAGAGGTGGATAAAGAACATCCCACCAGCTTTTTTAGGGCTGCGTCTTGTATCAGCTTTTGTCAACAGTACAATAATATCTGGACGGCTGCACCCATTTTTTAATCACAGATCTAAGACTACAGTCCCACACACTCTTTCCTCAGAGAACACCCACTGAACAAAGGTGAACTTTCTTCTGTATAAAGATTCCCGTTGTAAGAAACCATCCCAGCAAACTTTCGTCAGCTCAGAACGAGGAGATCTGGCACATCACCACTACTCTTTTATAGGGATTATATAAATACATCTCCAACATTTAAGATCTACAGACACGGGTATTTTGTGACCAAAAGAACACTGCCAGGTAACATCCTGAAAACAGGCTTTAGTGGCGGTCCCCATGCTCTGGAAATAATGATAAAATATTCAAGTCAATTCTGACTTATAGCAACCCATTTCAGGAGTTTCCAGGTAGAGAATATTCAGAAGCAGCCACACAGGCTGGGTCTACTCACAGGAGGCACAATGTAAACATTAGAAATTAATTGTTTTAAAACAGTAAAACACAGCAGTGCCTGAATATCTACAAACCAGGAAAAGCACATACAGTATATACATATTATATCTGGTGCATAAAGTACATATTTAGTACATAACAAAGCTTATAAAGTTACTTCTAAAGTGTAATTTGTTATACATTTTATTACTCGCCTCCCAAATAATTACTGCTCCTTCCCTTAAGTGAACTGTTAAATTACTTGTTGATTGTTACTTTTCTGTTGGAAGGAGGAGGCCACTCCTTAAACTCTGGAAGAGTCTGAAATCACTTGATTCCTTTAAAAGTAACTTAACGTTTATTCAAAAGCATGAACCTTTATATGCACCGATTCCAAAGTGGCAGTTTTGTTCCCAGTATTAAGTTCCTTTGGAAATGTAACTCTATTCTGCCTTTGTTATTAAAAAGTAACTTTATGCCGCTAAGCATGTGACTCATAACTCATTCGTTCTGAGCTTGGATGCACTGTGTGCAGCCTTAGAGATCTTACTATGTTAAGAGATACACAGTACAGTACATGTACAGTCAGTCAGTCCAAAGTAACAAGTACAGTAGTTGGTGTATTCATGAAGTTTTGGTACCCACCTTCCGGAGGTCGTTGGAATGCATGGGGAAAGGAGACGGTTTCTCACCTGTACCAGTTCAGTTGGTGGCTGATAACGTTTCTCCTGTAAGTCATGCACCACTTTCTGATGGAATGAGATTTGCCGAAAGATATCCTCCATGTGTTTGTCCCTCGTCCGTATGATCTCCTGCTCCGTGCTTTCGATCTTGCTCGTCAGGAAATGTTCTCTGAGCAGCAGAAACTTATGCAGATCATGGAATTTGGCCACCATTTGTTCTTTCGCTATTTGTGCTGATTTCTTCAAGAAGCCGGTGGGAAAAGGGGAGACAGAAACGTTGGAGTCAAACGCTTGCCACATCCTTACACTGGAGGAGGCAGAACATTTTATTACAAAAATGGCCAACTCAGCCTTCCTCAGCTTAGTGCCTTTCAGGTGCATGGGACTGCCATTCCCATCATCCCCAGAAGCCAGACAACATGGTTACAGGTAGGACATCTGACAAAGGCTAGTTAAAGGTGTGATTCAACACATCTCCAGGGCACCACCTCAGGAGATGCCTATGCCTAAAATCTGAATATTCTGGCCATAATTATCAGTGTTCGCATCATCAGTGTTATTTTATTTGTTACACTATATGCGTGCAATGAGCGCCAGGCAAGGTACAGGGCTATTTTGACCTCACACCTTATCCTGTGGAGTAGGCCAGGCTGAGCGTCTAAAGATCACCCACTGGATTTCATAGCTTTTACTCACATGCCTTTTCAGGTGTAAGGAACTTCTGGCCCTCTAGGTATTTTGGGCTACAATTCCCACCATCCCCAGGCCATCATGACCCATGGCAAGGGACTAGGGGAGTTGTAGTCTGATATAACTGGACGGCCAAGGGTTTCTGGTCTTTACTGTTAGGAATCGGGGATGTTGACAAGTCTGAATTTGGACCTGAATTTTTGGTCCCAAGTCCCAAGCCTCAAGTCTGAGTCCCTATGAAAAACAAACATTTTTCTCCAGGAAAAGAAAAAGAGGGGGATGGGTGAGTTCTGAGTTGCAAGTTGAGTCTGAGTAATTGAGGGGAAAAAAAACACGCAAAGTCAAATCAGAGTTGAGTCACGAGCCCGACCTAAGTCTAGCTTGACAGCGAGTCCTGTCACTCGAGTTTCCATCCCTGTTAGAAATCCTTGTTGCTTTGGTCTGTCAAGCCCTGTCTAAGCTACTCCATGTTCAAGGAGCAGCTTGCTATTGTCACACACCCTCTTGAGTTTCCATGGCCAAGCAGGGATTTCAACCCAAGCAAGCATGACCATCCCCTATATTGCAAGCTGAGCATCTGAGGCGATTTTGAAGCTTAAGGCCTCCACGTAAGTTTCATGCCCAGAAGGTCACTTTAAAACAAGACTCCCTGCCTCAGGGCGCAGACCTAGAACCACAATACCCAAACTTCAGAAGTCATTTTTTTCAGGTCTCATTATTGCATCCCACCAAACAGATCTACTGTATATTTGTTAGCTTGCGAGCAAGAGGGACACCTTGCCCCGCAAGCTAACACTTACAAGCAGGACTTCTCCTTCGCTCTCCAAATCCATCTTGTGGAACAGAACCGATTCCGTCCGACTCCGTACGGTGTTGATGCATGCGAGAAAGTATTCCTGAAAAGAAAAACTGTTTTAGAAGATGATTATACAGCTCCCTAATGACCAGGTTAGACAGTTATCAGTGTGGAGACTGGTCATTGTTCCATCCTCTCTGTCCTTCTTGGGTGAGCATTTCTCCATCCATGGAGTTTAGGTCGTTGACTGTGGAGCCAGAAGTTGGGAGTTCAATTCCCCACCAGGCCTCCCTGACAGGGGCTGGATACAGTGATCCACAAGGTCCCTTCCAGCTCTGCAGATCTAATATTGTTATTATTATTCTAAGAGTATTATTTCCTACCTTCTACCCTTTGTCCAAGTAGCATAGGCAAAAGTGGGACTCCTAGCTTGGTTTGTCCTCCATGGTAAAACAATGCCATTTCATGAGTTTTCTCTGTGCTATGACTTGTTACAATATCGAAGACAATTTGAAAACACTATAAAACACAGGCATGGGAGAAGCAGTAAAAATATACAGTTTCCTACCATACAAGCCTCTTGTCCAGCTCTGTTCTTTAAAATCACAACAATAACTGTGTGCCATCAAGTTGATTCCTACTTATGGCGACCCTTCCCAGGTTTTTCCAGGTAGATACCGGCAATACACAGAAATGGTTTTCCATTCCCTTCTTCTGAGGACGGTGCAGCTTGCCCAAAGCCCCCCAGGCTGGCTCTAATTTGGCTCCACAGCCATGTACCTAAAGGATTATCCAGGTAGCTTTATTGTTAAAAACTCACCTAAAAAAAAGATCTTTCCCTGTGAGGGAGGAATTGGGCTCAAGCTGCAATCCTAAATCTGTTTGCCCAGAAAAAAAGCCCCAGTGAGTCAAAGCAGACATTCACAAGTTTCACTGCAACTCCCTTCTTCTCCCACAAACAGCGATACCTTGTCCAATATTATTTATTTATTCATTCAATTTAAATTATGCTCCCTAGTGCAAGCACTACAGTGGGTGGTTTATACAGGGTTGAAAACTCACAAACCCTCAGCCCACCACCGCCACAAAAAACACAATTAAAGAACACAGCATAGCAATTAAAAGAATTGGTGCTTTTGAATTGTGCTGCTGGAGGAGACTCTTGAGAGTCCCCTGGACTGCAGAGACAACAAACCTATCCATTTGGAAGGAAATCAACCCTGAGTGCTCACTGGAAGGACAGATCCTGAAGCTGAGGCTCCATTACTTTGGCCATCTCATGAGAAGATTCCCTGGAAAAGACCCTGATGTTGGGAAAGAGTGAAAGCAAGAGCAGACAGGGACAACAGAGGATGAGATGGCTGGACAGTGTCTGCGAAGCAACCAACATGAATTTGACACAACTCCGGGAGGCAATGGAAGACAGAAGGGCCTGGTGTGCTCTGGTCCATGGGGTCACGAAGAGCTGGACACGACTTAACGACTAAACAACAACAATAGCAATTTAACAAGCAACAATTGTAACCATGAATTAAGAATAACCCTATGAAAAATCTAAAACTGATTAAAACTTTTTTTTAAATCACAAAAATATGATTTTAAATATGAACAGCACTCAAGAGATTCAGTAAATAAAGCCATCTTTGATTCATTTTCAGACTTTAACAACTTTACCAAATGACACAGGCTGGCTCTTCTCCCAGAAGGCACATTGGGGAATCGAACTCCCAACCTCTGGCTCTGTAGCCAGTGACCTCGGAACTCCCAGCCTCTGGCTCTGTAGCCAGTGACCTCACTCCTTGAATTATCTCCCTCTTATTTCCGAAATGCTAGAAAGGGAGTGCTCGCTCGCTCTCACCTTGAGTTCTTCAACCGCTTGTTCCAAAGGAACCATGTCATGATTCTGGTGCTCCCCAGATTCCACACACAGGGTGCAAAGGGGGGTTCTGTCCCCCTTGCAGAAAGACGTCAGCGGCCTCCAGTGTTCCTCACAGACTCTTTCCTTTTCCGAGACGAGGTCTGCCTCCAGCCGCTTGACTAACTCCACTAGGCTTTCCAGGCCTCGGTTTGGAAGGAGATTTCCCGACTGGACTGTCTCTTTGCACTCTGGGCAATTGCTTGTGGACAGAAATTCCGTCCAATACTTGGAGATGCAATTGTGACAGAAAGTGTGGCCACAGTCTAGGACCTTTGGAGCATCGAAATATCCCATGCAAAGGGTGCAAGTAACTTGCACCTGGAAGGTCTTCAGAGTGCCCTCATCAGCCATGGCACAAGCGTACACTGCAAAGTATTAATATAGATATTACAATTTTGCAGTTTATATATTATTTGCTTGACCTGTACAAACTGCTTTTCCTCCAGTGAGTTCAAGGAGGCATGTGTGACTTTCTTCCTCACCACTCTATCATCCTATCAAGCCTGTGAGTTAGGTTAAATCAGTGGTTCTTAACCTTTGTTACTCGGATGTTTTTGAACTGCAACTCCCAGAAACCCCAACCAGCACAGTTGGTGGTGAAGGCTTCTGGGAGTTGCAGTCCAAAACTCCTGAGTAACCCAAGGTTAAGAACCAGTGGGTTAAATCGAGGAGACATAAACAGTCAAAAGCCTCCAGTGAATGTAATGGCTCAGTGGACACTGAAACCTGAATCTTGCAACTCCCACCTTGCCAAACCTAACCATTCCACAACACTGTCTCTACTCAACAGACCTAGCTTCCCATTTGAAGAGAACTGCTGCCTTACATAACCATGGGGTCTTAAATTATGTAACAGTACCACTGGGAATTTCTCTGTGCATCCAAGCGACAGCTCCTCACTTAAGAGAAACTGGCACACTGCGTGTGAGTAGGAATATCTTCCGACTTAAACGTTAGGCCCATTTGGCCAGAGTTTAGGAAAAGTTTACTTTGGAGACTTCAACCCCCAAAATTTCCTATTAATTTGGGGAGTTCACATTCAAAAAAAGAGGAACCTTTCTAAGCTTAAGAATTCACGCGCAAAAATGCCTAGTCTGGTATGTAGTGAATAGAGTGACAGACTAGCACTCAGGAGACCTGAGTTCGAATCTCCCCTCTGTCATGGGAGCTCACTGGGAGACTTCGAACTGGTAAAACCACTCCTTAAGGATCTCACTGGGTATCTGGAGGCAAAAATGTTGAAACTGGCTGTCCTATTTGGGGCACATCAGGAGAAGGAAGGATTCTCTGGAGAAGACAATCATGCTGGAAAAAGCTGAAATGAGCAGGAAAAGAGGAAGACCAAATACAAGTTGGGTTGACTCCTTAAAGGTGTTTACAAGAGCTGAGCAGTCGAGGACAGGACATTTTGGAAATTGCTCATTCATAGGGTCACCAGAGGTCAGAGGCAACTTGACAGCGCATAACAACACATCTCACTTAACTTGCAAGCATTATCTAGGTCAGTATAAGTCAATTCCAGCTTGATGCCAAAAACACATGTCTGCAGTGTACCTGTATGATGAACTCATACTGTGAAACTATGTGGGAAGTTGCAGTTGCACATGGAGGGGAGCTGTTGCATGCAACTAGCAATCTGGAGACTTCCGTCTAAGTTTCAGCACTGAAAATAATATGGTTTGCTCCCTGGGACAGGGAAAACTTTATGAACACATTAAAACAGGGAAAGTGCACATTTTGAATGATACTTCCCAGGAACCTTGAGCAGCATACTCAGCAATGAGAGATTCTGGAAGTTATACTCTGAAGCATAGGGGCAGCTAAGGATCTTTCACCCACACATTTAAAAAAGCAAAAAAGAGGCAAGGATATTGGCAGCAAGCATCAGTAAGAGGAAGAAACAAGGGAAAGGAGAAACATCCTGTGGCAAGCATGAGTAGGAAAAGGCAGGAAGGTGAGTGATATTTGTATCCAAACCACCCG